TATATATATATATATATATTAATTTTGAATTATTGCATATATTAACTTATAGTTTATATATTAAATTATAAATTCATTTTAAAAATTTTAAGTATATAATTTTAATATTTTATATGCATTTTAATATTTACGAATTTATAAAATTTTAATATATATTACCCCTCTAATCCATATTATGAGACATTTTTAATCGAATCACATGAATTGGTTGATTTTATTAAAGAATTTATTAATAGAAGAGTTCTTATAAAGACTTAAGCATCAATATCAATAAAAATGACAAATGATAATTGAAGATTTTAAAAGATAAAAGAAAAGTATATTTTAAAAGTATAATTATTTACCAATTATGTCTTGATAATTTATGATAAATTAAAATTTTGTATTTGCATAATTAATTAAAAAATCTTAAAAAGAAAAAGAGAAGTGATTTACATCACGTTACATGGTCTAAATTAAGGATAATAAGGTGATTTAAATATTACCTAATTAATAATTATATATAATTAATTATCGTTAACTTTTAATAAATAATTAAATGACTAATAATTATTAATTTTGATATGTTATTTTTTAATAATTATTATGAGTGCCAAAATGAATAAATTTTATATAATACTCTCTCTAATTTTTATCCTAAGACATAATTTAAAAAGATTTGATGGTCTTTTATATAAGAAATTTTACAATTTTTTTATAAAATATTAATTTATTTTCATTGTTTACTCTTATTAAAGATTGTGAGTCGTTTTCTTTTATCTTTTAAAATCTTCAATTATCATTTGTCATTTTTATTGATATTGATGCTTAAGTCTTTATAAGAACTCTTCTATTAATAATTTCTTTAATAAAATCAACCAATTCATGTGATTCGATTAAAAATGTCTCATAATATTGATTTTTAATGGCAATTTATTTTATGATAATATTTATATACAGAATGATATATTTTTTTAGTTTAGTCAATATTTGAAAAACTATTTTCTTTTACATAATCTATATATTTATTTTTCAATTTTTATTTTTATTTATGGAAATAATTTTTATAATATATAACAATTGAATTTTACATAATTTTAATAATGATTAGTAATTATTAAATATTTTTTATCTAATTTTTTTATGTTGATATATTTGTTTATTTTTAATATTAGTTTATTTTATAATAATATTCATATACAGAAATATTTAAGAGGGAGTTATTGGAGGGAAGAAATATTTAAGAAGAAATTATTGAAAGAAAAAAATTATTTTGGAGAGAGTTATTGAAAAAAAGAAATTGTTCTGGATATATTATTTATTTATAGATAGATATGACTCTTGCTTCCATTAGCATTTTTAATTTATATCGTACCTTACACTAGTTATTACAATGAATGTATACAAAATCTTCTAGGCAACATGTTATACTTTGGGATTACTAACTGATTATAAAGAGTTTATAAATGCAATAATTGGGGTCAATTGAATTGGGCTGTTCTTTTTATTATTTATTTATATCCACAACTAATTAGCCTTTAGTAATGTTACAAAGGATATTCTCTTGATTTCTAAGAATAAAATGACAACAAGGGAACAAATATGAAACTTTAATGTATATTTTTCACGTAATGGTTCATATCTTTATTTTATAATCCAATCACGTCTCCATTTGCCTACTCACACTAAATCTCAATTTCTTTCTCTTCCCCTTATCCAAACTTTCTTCCCTATCATCAACATATAAATATTTATGATTGGTAGCTTAACGATCTCAAAGGACTAAAATTTTATAACATACCAATTAGATCCTATGGAAAGTTAGAAATGCATCTATATTTCAAGATCAATTTTGAGACTTTTGACATATTATTAATCAAATTCAAACTCTTTTGACCAATATTAAAAAGATGTTTAACCATTAATTAGGATCATCAATAACAAAGTCATCAAGTCAAAAAGGAAAACACTTGCATCTTTTGCAATCAAAATCAACATTGATGACAACTCATTTGGTAACTCAGGAAGAACAAGTTTTGGAGGTCTTTTTCAGGATCATATGAGAAACTGAATTACTAATTTCTCTATCTCATGTAAAAATTCAATTAGTATCAAGACTTAATCTTTTGCTCTCTTTCATGCTCTTATAAAACTTGAAAGGAAGTTTATGGTGTTATATGTTGTGTGATATGGATTCTACCATGATCTTACATTAGTTCATAACAGTTAGGATCACTTTCATCATGAAAGTTTCATCCGTATTTTTACTTGATCATTGCAATTAAAAAATTGTTGCAATTACTTTAGAGTGTCACCTTGCAACACATACTTCCTGAAACTAATTCATGTGTTGATTGACTTGCAAAATATGATACAACTTATGATATTTTTTTTTCTAACATTGGAACTACTGTCTACCTCAACTAACTTTTCTATTATTATTTGATGCAATAAAAATGTTATATTGGGATTTTAATTTTTGTTTCTTTCTTACTTTTTGTAATTCTTACTCATTAAAAATAAATAATGATGCATGCATGCGATTATATTGCTTGCTTGAACTTTATTATCAAAGTTTCAAGTGTTCTTGCTTCTCTTATTGGTTTCCATAGAAAATATTATAGAATGTAAGGAATAAACCTACTTGAAAGTGCTATCCAATGATCTCCCTGGAAGGACAGGTCACAAAAAAATGATAAAAAAAATCAAATTCTTCGATGGCTGAAATAATAATCATCTTCACAACTTGGAACACCAATAGCACATGACACAAATTAAACCTATAGAAAGATCAAAACAAAAAAGCATTAAAAGGAAAACTGACATCATCTCAGAATGCACCATCAGGCAAAAATCATGTTAATACAAACAACTAATTACGCTATGAACCATGAAGAGAAGCAACATAGCATAAAGATGAAAATGAACGCAGTAACACTATTGGACATTGAATTCGAACTGAAACAACGGAGTTATAAATATTCTGGACCATCTACAAGCTTAATTTGAAAACACAATCACAAACTCTGGACCAACCACAAGATTTATTTGATAGATGAATTGATTATGTCCCATGGTTCATATTCACCTTTTCTGCCTGTCCCTTGCTACCCTTACCATTATGGCTACATACATCTTATCTACAACCCCATCCACGTAAGGGAAATGTGTCTCCAAACTCCAATCCCTATTCAACAATAGTTACAAAGAATGCCCAAAACCCTGTTATGAAGCCAAGCACAATGACAAAGTTAAAAAGCACTTTTCTTTCTTATCATTATTGTCATTCTTGTCTTCATGGTCAACGCTGGTAGGTACCCTAACCCCATCACCAATCGAACATTTATTCGTTAGGGGTCCTCCGCAGAGACGTGAATTGCCAAGAAAAGATCGATTATCAAAGGTGAGAAAATGATCATTTATCGGAATGAGACCTAAAAAATTATTGTAGGATAAATTTAAGAAGCCTAGATTATCCATGAAGGACATGACGGTTGGGATAGGACCAGAAAGGCTATTGTTAGAAAAATCAAGGGATTCCAGTGACTTCATTTTCTGTATATTACTTGGGATATTTCCTGACAAGTGATTACGTGATAAGTTCAAGCCAGTCAATCCAGAAAGAGAGGTTAAGTCATCAGGAATTGATCCCATGAGATTGTTACTTGACAAGTCTATGTTTACCAAATATGGATACTTGTATTCTTTTGTGTAATCATATTCATTTTCTTTCAAGACTTGCTTGAAATTCCTTTTTCCCCATTCATTTGCATCATAAGTGAATGCTGGTTGTGCTTCAACTCCTTTTATCATCATACCCCGGAGATCACCAATGCAACGAGGGATTGAACCTGAGAAATTATTATCAGCAAGGTCCATGATTTTCAAATTATAAAACTTGTAGAGAGATGTTGGAATATCACCATTAAACAAGTTTTGCCTCAGCCTTATATTTTCAAGAACATATATGCCCACCAAGAAGGTATTTTCCCTGTAAATTGATTCTCACCTAGATCCAAAATTTGCAACCAAAGGGTTGCTTTGCAAGGCTTGAAAAGGGTCTCCATGGAGAGGGACTCTTGTTGCTCAAACTCAACCATCCCACAGTAAAATTCCCAAATGAGCTCGGAATGGTGCCCGATAGCTGATTTGAGGCCAGATTTAAGACTCAGAAAAATTGCTTTCCCCAACAATTGGGAATTGTGCCAGAAAATCTGTTCTCCTAGAGATCAGGAAAGAACAAGCTTTCCATCTTGCACAAAGAGTCTGATATTGAACTCTCTATATTGTTACTACAGAGATTTAGCCTTTACGTATTTGGAAGATGATGACCAAAATCTTTTGGAATATATCCACTCATCTGATTGTTATTGATGTCTAACGTAACAAGTTGCTCCTGTGTTTGAAGCCACGCAAGAAAACGTGTCACATTATTGTAGGCCATTCCAAGGACTTGTAAATACTTGAAAGGTGGTGTCCAATCGGATTGTCTTGAGATCAAGATTGTTGAATCCTATTTGTAATATATCAAATTTGAGAGGTTACCAAGGTGAATCTCTGATATGATAACTGTCAAAAAGTTATTAGCTACCCTTAAGGTCACTAGATTCCCCAATTGTCCAAGGCTTTCAGGAATGCTTCCATTCAAATGATTGTTAGAAAGATCTAACACAGCTAAAGATGACAACCGTCCAAAGGTAGCTGGAATTGACCCATGTAATTGATTATCAGAAGGATCTAACGTTCTCTGGGCAAACAATAGTTTCTATGACCTAGTCCCGACCCTTCAAATATAGCCATGCTAGATGACAAGTCTAATGATCGGAGAGAGCACATGTTTATCAAGATAGATAACACGGATGCTTCAACCCTCTTGTAGGGATTACTAGAAAGATTAAGATGGACAAGGGAATCAAGATTAACCAACCAATTAGGAAGTGAAGTGAGATTATTATAACCAAGGTTAAGATCTCGAATTGGACTCAATTAAGTTCATAAAAACATCAGGAATAGGGTCAGAAAGTAAATTTTGTGCAAGATTCAGAACTTGAACACTGGCAAGAAATGTAGAATTGACATGGCCAGCAGCAAAGTGCATGTTGGTGAGATAGTTCAAGTGTTTCAACTCGAATGTAGAAGGGTGAACACCATTAGCTGTTTATGATGAGCACGTGCAAATTAAGATGCGCCGGCAACTACATGTTTTTTTGCCATCACATCCCTGTCCTTCCCATTGGCAGTGATCATTTCCTATTTCCTTCCCAGGACATAAACATGGAGCTGTTGGAGAAACTTTCTTTCAGTTTTAGAAGAGCTTCTCGCTCATTCATTGCGTGGCCAGAGGTTGAACTTCCGCAAAAGCACAATTGTTGAGGTGCAAGTGCAATGATGAACAACAACAAAGAAACAAGGAATAACCCAACATTTGAGTCTGCTCTCATGTTTGTGCAAAACCAATAAGGATGGATATATCACGCAGTTTTCTTGGATATAGAAGAACTAAAATTCATAAGCAATTTCCAAGAAAGAACCTGCCTTGCATCTAGCATTAGGTAAATGTTTTCCAACGTATTTTTCACGGGACAAGAGTCTAACCGTGTGTTTGACAGGGCATTAGAAGGCCCTCACGGTTATCAAATTATTTTGAGTTCATAACCAACTTTTACCGAATTCAAATATTTTTTTTTAGAGGGGTTATAATTATACTGGTGTAACTTTTACTAAATATTACACTACTTAATAACTTTATATTAAATGTGAATTTTGTAAATCTAACCGTTAGATTGAAAGTTCATATCACTTTATATGTATATCAAATTTTGTTAAAATTGAAAAACAACTTGAAGGTAATCAAAGTGTTCATATTTTAGTATATTTTGAAATGAATATATTACGTCAATTTTGTTTTATAAGAATGGAGTATCAAATCATCTTAGATTAATATAAAATTTTGTATATATGATCTAAGAGTAAGGAATTTTCAATCTAACGGTTGGATTTACAAAATTCACAATTAATATAAAGTTATTGAACGGTGTAACATTTAGTAAAAGTTATACTGATGTCGTTTGAACCTTCCTTTATATATATATATATATATATATATATATATAT